GTAAAGCTGTTTCTTCTAAAAATAGTGTCGTGCTTCTCTATTCTTGTATTTTATTTGCCTGCTTTGGGGCTTCCAAGGACGGATGGCTGGCTTGAAAGGACGGATGCTCCGCGTCCATTGCTAAAGCGCCCGTAATGTGCGACGTTAACTTTCCTTTTGGGAAACCATGACCTTTGCTTTGCGGACTGAACTACAAGGGAAGAAATGGGAAAGTGAGGACCGAGGCTTGGTTTCGAGCAGAGTCAAATCAGTCAGCGCCTCCTCTAGAGGGGGCGCTGCGTCAGTGCATGCCGAGACTGGACGGGTGGGTGGACGCGACGCGAAAGTTTGGAGCGACACCGGGTGTGGCGGAACGCGGGAAGAGTTCAGAGCGGCTGTGTGCAGGCCACCAAGTGTGTGTGCTCGTGGATAAGTGTGGTGCGGAGGAACGTCGTACGCAGCATCCAAGCACACACAGACTTCCCCATTTTGACCAACGTCGCAACGGGCCTGCGTCACCCACACCCGCAACATACCTAATTGAATTTCGCTCAGCTGCGATGTATCCATGGCTATCGCGGCGATGAGAGGCGCCGATTCAGAAAATTCGTCGGTGACATCAGCGCCATCAACGCAGTAAAACCTACCGGCACACCCCCAACTCGCCGCCGCTGACGCTCCCATTCTCCTACTGCCGAGAGAACTTCCGGTTCCTGTGCCAGAGTACGTCACGACCACTGATCTCTATGACAATTGCTGGATGGCGTTTGCCCACTCCGCGAATGTGGCCACTTGCGGCAATCTTTTCGGCAGAGTTATATTACCTCTAGCCAAGGTACAGCAGCTGCAGTCACTATCATCCATCCATGGCAGACAGCGTTCTGGCAGTTGTGGTGGCCAACGTTACTGGAGCAAGTTCAGTTTCGCAGCTCCCTATGCCTGCAGAGGCGAGTGTCCCAGGTGGCGGTCACGAGAACTAGCAGCGCTGCAGTCGGATATTGATTCCCTGTCTCGCGCGTCGTCTACTACCACCGCGTTGAGAGCTTCCTTTTCTTTTCTTTTCTTTTCTTTTCTTCTTTTTTTTTCTTTTACTTTTATGTGTATAATAAAAAAAAAAGATTACGAAGATGAAATGTAATACACTATAGAGATCAGAGTCAGCGCATTGCAAGTTCTTTTTTTTTGAGTGTTCGAAATTTATTTTTGTGTGCGTCTGTTTCCTTGCGCTGTGAAGCGTTAGTATGAATCAACAACTGGCCCAAGCTCAAGTATTGCTATTCAAACTTGGCGGGCTAGACAATCCGGAAGCAAGACTCGACTGCAGCGTTGTTAGTTCTCGTGACCGCCACTGAGCCCACGTTGCAGGTGGAGCTGTGAAACTGAGCTTGCTCCAGTAACGTTGGTGGTGGCAGGCTGCCATCGAAATAGCGGGGGTGATATTTCATGCTTGATTTTTTAAACCCGGCGTGAACAGTAGCCTGATCTTCGGGGACCCGGTCAATGCTTCACGAAACCGCAGCACCGAGGAAATCCCAACGAGCTCGAGTAAACTTAGAGCGGTAAACCAGCGGCCAAAAATGGCACCCCCCCCCCCCCCCCCCCGGTTGCCGTCATCTTGCCTGTTTGCCACATTAGTGATCACGTGACGTTAAGATGGCTGCGCCCAGAGGTGGGCCAGATCACGGTCAGCAGATGGGCACTCTGGGGCTGCATTCCAATCTTACTCGAATGGGTCCGCTGTTCCGGCGGGTCAAGTCACGTGACGAGACAGATACAGCAATGCTGGACGCGGGTAGGTTTTCGAACGCAACGGGTACGAGACCTTCACCCAAAAGTCAGATAGAAGCTGCGTTCGATTTGCCTGCACCTCCTGCACCGGTGTAGAAAAGTGTAGGGCGGTGTACTTCCGGTCGCATGCCCTACACTTTTCTGCACTCGTGAAGGAGGTGCAAGTAAATCGAACGCAACTTTATCTCACTCCTGGGTGAAGGTCTCGTACCCGTTGCATTCGAAAACGTACCCGCGTCCAGCATTGCTGCATCTGTCTCGTCACGTGACTTCATCCGCCGGAAAAACTCGGATCCATGCGAGTACGAATGGAACGCAGCCCCAGAGTGCCCGTCTCATGACCATGATCTGGCCAATCTGATCTGGCCCACCTATGGGCGCAGCCATCGTAACGTCACGTGATCACTAATGTGGCAAACAGGCAAGATGGCGGCAGCCGGGAGGGGGGGGGGTGCCATTTCCACTGCAGGCAGTGGGTTTCGGTTTACCGCTCTAAGGTAAAACTCAAGCTCGATGGGAAAAGCAGCACAGCACGCATCGAAAGAAGCATCGAAAGAAGCATCGAAAGAAGCATCGAAAGAAGCATCGAAAGAAGCATCGAAAGAAGCATCGAAAGACGCATCGAAAGACGCATCGAAAAAAGCATCGAAAAAAGCATCGAAAAAAGCATCGAAAAAAGCATCGAAAAAAGCATCGAAAAAAGCATCGAAAGAAGCATCGAAAGAAGCATCGAAAGAAGCATCGAAAGAAGCATCGAAAGAAGCATCGAAAGAAGCATCGAAAGAAGCATCGAAAGAAGCATCGAAAGAAGCATCGAAAGAAGCATCGAAAGAAGCATCGAAAGAAGCATCGAAAGAAGCATCGAAAGAAGCATCGAAAGAAGCATCGAAAGAAGCACCGAAAGAAGCATCGAAAGAAGCATCGAAAGAAGCATCGAAAGAAGCATCGAAAGAAGCATCGAAAGAAGCATCGAAAGAAGCATCGAAAGAAGCATCGAAAGAAGCATCGAAAGAAGCATCGAAAGAAGCATCGAAAGCAGACGCCGGCACAGAGTCTGCTTTCGATGCGAGCTGCGCTGGTTTCCCCCTGTGCTGCGCTTTCATAGAACTTTCGCCGGGTCCTCGAAGATAAGGCTACCGTTCACACCAGGTTTCAAGAATCTGCTTCGTCGAACATCTTCAATCAAGCACGAAATATCACCCACGATACAGCCTACTAGATCCACAGCTATTTATGGCAGCCTGCCGCCATTGCGCTGTCGGCCATATTACTATGATGGCTAGAGATGATATAACTCTACCGAAAAAAATGGCCGACCGTGGCCGCATTCCCGTCCATAAGCGGAGCTGGTCAAACGCGATCCAGCAAATAGACGTAAAGATCAGCGATCACGACCTTCAAAATTACGCCGCAGCTTGTTGTGCGGTCAGTTGGAGAGAAAGAAAAAGTCGATATTTCAATCATTTTTCGTGAAGTTAATAAACCGAAACGAAAACGGATGCCCGTTCGGCATTCAGTGAACATTGAAGGTTTAGTGTAAAAGTTATCTGGCAAAAGTAAGATCATCTCATAGTCCCTTTAAACAGGGCAGGACCCGGCATGGACGTCATGCCCAGCGATGCCGGAAAAAGAACCTAATCCCAAACTGCCTTGCGCAACGACGCGCTCTCATCCAACGTAAATCCAACCAAGCTCCAATCGTCTGCTCGCCGATCGGTCCATTTCCTTAGGCTTAGGCTACGTCTGCTCCCTGCCTGCGGTCAGCTTCGTCTGCTCGCTGTCGCGGCTGGCTTTCGATACAATCGGCGCACCAAAAGAAGCTTCGATGCGAACCCGCATTTTTATCACGGCAGAGGGAAACCAACACCTTCTCGCAGCAGGGCTTGTACGGCTTCCTCAACCCGCGGTGCAATCCCCAGCGTTCGTGCGTACGACGACTGACACGCTCGCTTTCCAACACCAAGCTATCGCGACACGCTCTAGGCGACGCTCCCGGCGCGGTGTCGAGAGCGTCCGGCGTCCACTAGACGCCGGCTTCCTACTGGTCAGGAAGGTGATGGGCTCCATATCTCACCTGTTCTGCACCCATTCAATGGACGCCGCCATGAAACTATGCATAAGCAAACAACCGCGTTGTCATGGCAATGCCATGGCAACGCGGATGTTTTCCCCATATCTTCATGGCGGCGCTCGTTACCAGTGTTCTAATCCTAACGAAAATTACCCGAGGCTGTGGTAAAAGATGGAAAACTTTGTAAAAGAAAAAAGACGCAGGAAATGAATCATCTCGATAGCAGAGACAATAAGACATTTCGTGGCCACGCCTACTTTCGTTACTCTTGCCTCCATGTATGGAGAATATGGACGTCACCTCCTGCCCCTTACAACCTCCTTGACTGAGCTAGACTTCAGACGCCATGCTCATCCCAGCAGTGGCGCGCGGCACGCGTCTCGAGAATTTCCACAACAATGAATGAAGCCTCCTTTCCCAGGATAAAGGGGGTTTTAAGCGCTGACCTCGCGCTAAATGCCTGCTGACGGGAGCGTTCACCAGCTTTGTGTCGCATCGTCAACACTGCTGCTCATGGCAGACGATAAGTAGATGACGACACGTGAGCATCGAACCGGCCTTTACTAGACCGCACGCTGCAGAAAGCGTGCCCAGCGGGCGCCTGCTCAATCCATGCTTTAGAAGTGACGGCATGAACTCCCGCTAGCAAAGCCAAGCTCTAGCGTACGATCTACTAAACGTCCCTCACGCGTTGCGCCGAAAATCTCCTAAAACGCCGTCTCGTCCGCATTACTACAAGTAATAGCATCAACGCACGCTGATAATGCTGATAATCACAACAATCAGGCGGTTATCGTTTGAAACGAATCGAGTTTCGAATACTCACTACCAATCAAGCGCCCCTCTTTTACCACCTGACCTTGCTCTCTGCTTTTGGGTAACGGCGACATCATGAACACGTGTCGAAAGAGACGAATGAATGGTCCAAGAAGCACGGATTTTCCATCGTTTTGCCAGGTTAGGGGTGGACGAGTGTAGGAGTAAAGAGAGGTCAAGAGACTATTGTTTTTGTTTTTTGAACCCTTTCTTCGGTGACGGGCCCAAATGAATTCCCGAGGCGCCATAACCTGGAATAGCGTAAACAGTGACAAAGATTCTAGTTCAAGCTAGACATCACCGCCTCTCAAGTATTTAGACCGTGACAGCAAAGGGAGACAACACGAAAGTGACACTCGTTTATTTGCTCGTGTCAGAGTAAAACACTATACATAAAACTGAGCAGATGCGTATGAACCTCGGCATCGCTGGTTTTAATGATCTGCTGATGTGATCTGAGAGATGAAGACGGGTAAATAACAAGGGTGCGTCGAAGTTATTTAGGATTCACCATTCGCGATATATTCGGACTTCGCTATACGTGTCGAAGGATAGACGAATGTTTCATGAAATCTGCTCGATGGCGCACTTCGTTGAAACACATGTTCGCGTGGAAGTTTTACCACTAACCGGAAACGTTCCAATTTGTTTGTTCAACGCTAAAAAATACCCCTGCTCGTCAATTTGTTTCCGTGATCCGCAAAAGCAGAGTTGACTGAATGTAAGCGTTGAAACGGCTCCGTCATGACGATGGAATGCACATCTTTTTCGTATACTGAATACCGTCAAGCAACGCGAGTAGATAAATACGAATATACCGAGAGCTGTCGTCAAAATATAGTGCACACATCCTAAGTAGCAAGGCCGCGTAGGGCCGAAGTTTCTACGTCACAGACCGGGGGCCAGCACACGGGGCACAAATTAAACACGTATTGCTGCGTCAGCATTATCGCTAGGACTCAGTCTATGTCCACGCTGGCCTCCGGGAGGTGACGTAGAAACAACGGTGTTCCGGCCTCATTCCCAGGAGGTGTGCCCCGATACTGCGAACATAGCGGCTGAAGTTTTTCCGAAGCACTATGACTAGGAACCCAAAGGGCAGTTGTGAAGCGTAAAATGAGCGATCGTTACGTCGCGGATTTATGTCGTTGCATCCGGCGGAGGGGGCTCGATGCTGAGCATGGCAGCGATGATGCGCTTGGTGTACGCTTTGGCGACGTCGCAACTCCGGTAAGCGACCTGGCAATCCTGTCCGAGCCAGCCCTTGGCAAACGCGGCTGGCAGAGAACCCGGCAGTTGAGCCACCGCCCTGCAAATGTCAGATGCGATTAGGACGTGTGTACAATAAGAGCCCATTACACCTTAACCACGGAATCGTCGATATGGAACTTTGGCTACGTTTACATGGATGCGACAGCAGCGCATCGGATCCAGTAAGCGAATCGGATCCACTTCAACCACTACGTTTACATGGATTCGGATCGGCCATAGCGGCACCTCTTGTCGAAGGATCACAACGCAAACCTCGTAACCTTCAGATTCTTTCCGAGGTGTCCGGTTTGCCTAGCGGCATGCAAAGCAAAGCTCTCGTAATCCCTCGCTCGAGCACTCGATCCGATCCGCTAGCGTATACATGGAGAGTCGACTCGGATTGACCATCTCAAGCTATACCCCGTTCCAGCGGATCGGATTGGATCCGATCCGAGTTTTTTACATGGACCGATTCGATTCGTTAACTGGATCCGGTGCGCTGCGGTCGCATCTATGGCTACGTTTACATGGATGCGACTACAGCGCATCGGATCCAGTTAACCAATCGAATCGGTCCATGTAAACAACTCGGATCTGATCGGATCCGATCCGATCCGCTGGGACGGGGTGGTTTGAGATGGTCAATCCGAATCGAAACTTTCCATGTATATATACGCTAGCGGATGGGATCGAGTGCTCGAGCGAGGGATTACGGGAGCTTTGCTTTGCATGCCGCTAGGCAAACCGGACACCTCGGAAACAAACTGAAGGTCACAAGGTTTGCATTCTGATCCTTCGACAAGAGGTGCCGCTAGGGTGGATCCGAATCCATGTAAACGTAGTGGTTGAAGTGGATCCGATTGGCTAACTGGATCCGATCCGCTCCTGTCGTATCCATGTAAACGTAGCCCATGTAAACGTAGCCTTTGTGCGAGAAATTTTGGGGATCAACGAGATAGGCTTTTGGGAAAGCGGTTTTGTCCTTATTTATGCACAGAGATTACAAATATAAGGATATATTGAGATATTTTGAGTTTTATAATCCGCCGGAAAATTGCCGAAGAGTCCATCTAGGTGTTCAATGCCCGGCTTGTGTCAATCGGTACACAACGTTCACGCATCCTGCATTACTTAGCCAAACACATGCACCTCTATATATCCTAAATCAATTTTCGCTCTACTACGAGCGGAAAAAACTTGCACATTTAAATGGCGGCTGGTGTGTCTGCAGGAGAGAGAGGGGAAACTGACAACGGCTGTTAATCGAAGGAATTTAACGTTCAACACCACAGTGTTGAACGTTAAATTGACGCCCATCAACATCGAAGCCGGGAGAAGTTTAGCCAATCTCGCTCCACATGGTGCAGTTTCGAAGCCACGTATACAGTGGTGCACAAAGCCGTCGAAAAGGCAAGGGCGCCTTGGACAACGCGAGCGCGTCATGTCGGTGGTGAGAGGAACTACTTGCACAGAGCTTCGGCCGATTGCGAGATCACCGGCTCCCACTCTCCGATAATCAGCGGCACAGCAGAGCCAACCCCACCTAGATTAGACCTTCGAACGACCTCATCATCTTCCATTGAACATCATCGCAGGCCGATAGCGCCAACTTAGTGTATGGACCCGAACCCAATGCTTTGATCGGACACAAGGTCCAGCCGAACGATGACGTAGAACTCGTGTTCAATTGGTGTCGTGGCTCAATCTGACTGAGATTACGTCGTCAAAATTCTAGTGCACCAGCCTTGATTCTTCCAGGTGGTGTTGTCTGAGCAGAGCGTCGTCAAAAATTTGCACGAGGTTGCTAATGCCAACCCACTGAGGTTGAGCCACTGCTGTGGCGCTGCTGTCGGCATTGCGCAAGCGCGGATGCTTCATCTCGCACCAATCTGGTTTCTGCGCACGAGCCGTACCCTCACCTGGTGCGGGTGGGCTTGTTTCCGAATTGCGTTCTGGTACATCACCGTAACTTGACAAACGGTGAAGGCTACGCTTCCAGTGAGCAAATCAGTGCGCCGGAGAAAGCCCCGTTACATCTCAAGGGAGGGCGAGAAAAAGAGGAACTCGGGAGGAAGTAGCAAACGGAACTCTGGAGAGGAGAAGGGGAGACCACCTCCCTCCAGCGTTCTGTCTGCTTCCTACTCCCCGGACTTCCTTTCCCTCGCCCTACCTTCCTGATGGCTTTCCTCGCACAGAGAGGAAAGCCCTCTCTGTGCGAATTTTGAGTGACGAGCTAATATGCTGGGGGGACAAAAGCAACGTTTGGGAGACAAAAGAGGATCCGGGTAAAAAGGGAGTTCCTCCTTCCCCTCTCTGTCTTGGGTCACACCCTCGCCTCTGTACAGTCGGCTACAAAAGTTTATGGACCACGGCTGCGTTGCCGCGCAACCAAGCGGCAACGCGTCTGTGGTCGAGACCCGTAATGCCCCCCCCCCTCCCCCCCCCCCCCCCCCCCCCCCCCCCCCCCCAATGCGCGTTCTTCGGTACTCGCACGCATGTCAAGTCTCCCGTTTCCGGGCGACGCCCTCCTATTCTCACGAAAACTGTCTCGGGCACCGCTTGGATAGCCGCCATTAGTCGTTGTGACGCAGCTGTATCTCGGTGGCGCGGAGGAGCAATAAGCGCCAGAAGACGAAATATCAACTCTATCTCCCGCCGTCCGGCATAATATCGTTTGTGCCAGCTCAGCAGAAAAAAAAAAAAAAAAATATTCAGCGTTTTTTTTTTTTTTTTTTTGCTTGTTGAAGAGGCTTTTTAATTTTGTCTGCATTGGCTGCTCCATCAATCACTCATTGACAGCAATCAATTTATCAAGCGTCATTTCATTGCATATTGCCCACCTTTTTACTTTTACAAAAAAAAACTTTAAACATATACAAACAAGAACAAAAGAAAAACACTGCAGAATAGCTGTCTTGGCCGCTGAGCTCGGCATGTGTCACTCATCGCGCCATCGAGATGCGCTTGCGGCACGTCGGCCAACGGCGGCTACCGAAGCGGCGCCCAGTGCCGCATTCGTGAGGACAAGGCGGCGTCGCCGGAAGCGGGAGGGTTGACACGCTGGCAAGTACCAAAGGGGGCGCAAGCGCGCCTTACGGGTCTCGACAACAGACGCCGTGCTGCAGGGTAGCGCATATTCCGCTCCCTGCAGCTCGGCCACGGCTCGTGTGGTCCGTAGACTTTTGTGACCGACTGTCCTTTTAATAAGGGCTGTGACGTGATTCGCCTCCGTCGTTCTGATTGGCTCGAAATGGTAGTTGCTTTCGCTCCCTGCCCAATTCCGGCGAAACAAAACAACCCAAGTTCCTGACGTCATGCCAAGGCGGTGAATGCACTCCGCATCCACTTTACGCGATTCTGGTTTCCGCGCACTCGCAATGTCCACATCTGGTGCGGGAAGACGCGAGCTTGTTGTCAATAACGTGTCGGCGACTGGTCCCAAGTTTTCGTCATCATCAACAGTCAACTTACTCCAGGAAGTGGCGTAAACCAGAGTGGCTGGATTTGTGCGATCCGAACACCCTGGCCACCTGGCACAAAGAACGCCTGTGGCACTCTCGGGCCTCGGCCTTGATGGCGCCCTTGAGCTTGTGGTACGCATGCATCTGGACCAGCTTCTCTTCGTAGCTGCCGTACAGGGTGCGAGGCCGGCCTGCGGAGACGTCCTGGCTCGCTGCTGCAGAGCGATTGGCTGCGAGACATCGAGCAAGGTACTGGGTTGAGGCAATACACTTTTCCAGCGCTTATGACCCCCTAGACGACGAGGCCTGCGCATCACGTCATCGCTAGTGGATCGCCAACCCGCCCCAAGTGGCAAACACGTCAAAACTCGAAGAGTGTCGCAGCTTTGACGCGTCTGTGTCGGCGTCGCCACGTGCGAGCGTCGTGCTCGCTCCCAGACGGATGCAAGACGCGCTGGCAAGCGATGCTCACAAAACTATAGCCGGTGACGAGCAACGTTACTAGAACACTCAGTTGGAAAACTCGGTTAAAACTTGGGCTGGTGGCGTCCACGGAAACCGTGCTAAAGACGATAACAGCGCCGCTCTTAATCTTGTCTTTACTGCGGTCACCTTGAGCTTTTAGAAAGCAGGTTTTCGAGTAAAAACAAACGAAAAAACTGTTAACTTTTACTGGAGTTTAGTACGAAATGAAGGGCGCGTTATGTTTTCTAAAATCTTTAGTTTGCAAGGTTTTGCGACACAATATGGTTTTTATACAACCACGTCTCAGCGGTGATTTCAGGTAGCGCGTCTCAACCTGGGGCGTATCCTCACTTCGGGGGCGCGTCCGCTTGGGAGACTGGGGTGGCACCCTTGAAACCCCTTCCTCTGTATATGTTTCGGCGCCAAAATGGCCGATTAAAGCCAGAATAGAAGTCACATGCAGTTCCTCGAGTGGCCGCCGCGGGAAAAATGGCGGCGCTCCGATCGCCATTAGGGCGTTTTAGTAGACCTTTCCTCCTCCGCAAACCCTCCGCAACGAAGAAACCGCCACTGCGCCTGCCTGCCGATGGTCTTGGCTGTAGAGTTCCGGGTAGCGGAGGGGCTTAGCGGAGGGGGAAACACGGTCTACTAAAACTCCCTATTAGCTCGGTTCTCGAGTACGGATCTGTGCCACTTTTTAGAGCAGGCTCTATGGCAGTTTCCCAACTGAGTTGTTCTTGTAACGTTGGTGACGGGCGAAAAGTGAAGTGGAAGCTTTTCCCCCTCTTTCCACTTTAGCGGAGTGAACACTGGGGAGGCGATAGCGTCCTTTCCAGCGTTCACTCCGCTAAACTGGAAAGGGGGCGGAATTTCACGTGGCACCGAGCATAGCCGGCCCTGCGTGGATCCACTGCTGACGACATCTGGTGGGAGAAGACGCAGGCCTTATCTTCCAGGTGTTGTCTCGTTACGACCCGGGTGAAACTACCGGGTCACTCAGCTCTGTCTACGCATGCGCTGCGTGTGACATTCCGCAGACGAGAGCTACTGCCTAGGCTCAGAACGCGCTCCACAGCCCAGCAGACGAAAATGGCAGCGCGCTCAATGCGATTCTGGGAACGCTTTGTGGAAAATCCATTTCCTTGAGCGAAAGCCATGTGCAAGGTTCCGGGAAAAATAAAACACCTCTTTCTTTTGAACTATACATTTTATTTTATATGCGTGCTATTTGTTCGACGCTAAAACAATCTTCAAATATATTGCGTTTTTTTTATCAATTTATAGTTGTAGGGTACCCCTCAACGCCATGGGCATTATGCGGGGGAGAGGGTGGATACAGCCGCGTAAGATAGTCACATTATGTTTACATACGTACAGTGGTAATCACACTTGTCTATAACGCGCGAGCATGCGGCTTTCTCCGGGGAGCGCTAGACTGGGGACATTCACAGAAACTAAGCTAGCCACGTGGCGCAACATCGGACGGCCCGTTCGAGGGGTGTCCAGCCTAGAGCCACTAAATAAGCTGCGCTTAGAGTATCGGCACTCCGTTCCCCGACATTGTTGTGGGCGCCGCCATTTTGGCTCGTATGCCGAACAGACGCAACAGCCGATCTTCATGATTCAAAAGTGCGACTTCCTCAGCATTAGATTTGGTGTTAGGAAGGTAATGTAATATTGCTTTGCTCTGTCGCGAACGGTTTAAACATTTGTGGAGGGCGGAAAAGCATTTCCTGTGATTTCAGATAAAGCTTCAGATAACTGGCCACCATGATTTTAAGCCACAATATGGCCAAGTGTCGTTACTCTGAAGCGTAGCTTATTTAGTGGCACTAGTCCAGCCCATTCTATCAGCTTGATAAGCGATAAAAGTAAAGTGCTTTATGATATATTTTGTTTTTTTGGTGACGTCATCGTTGATACGCCTTCAAGCTTTAGTTTGTTTATTGTTCGAGCAATGATGCTTGTAAAAAGCGTGCGAGCAGCCTTCCGCGTTCGCCGCCAGCTGATAGTGGGCAAGACACCCCTCGAGCGGGCCGTTCCATGTTGCGCCACGTGACTAGCTTAGTTTCCGAGAATGCCACCAGTCTAGCGCTCCCCGGAGAAAGCCGCACGCTCGCGCGTTATAAACAAGTGTGATTACCACTGTACAATGGTGCAGCAAAGTAACAAAAACACATTGCGCAAGCAGTGCCAATTCATCGCATAATAAAATGATATTCAGAAATTCATGCTACTTTTACGGAAGTTGTTCATATGATTCAATTGAAGCAAAATATACGGGATATAGGTATACAAATAGGATGTTCAGGAAGTTCAAATCTATCGATTTGTGTTATTGCCGTAATTTTTCTAGGGCATGTAACGATGTTTGCAGTTCCGCTTAAATCAGTCTCTTTTACGACGTTCTGCTCAGAGGCGAATGTTCCAAAATCTACCAGAAGCAAAAACGGCGTTTCGTGAACTACGTTGTTGCGCCTGTGACCTCCGTAGCACTGCACAAAGTGTGTCCTTGAAGCTCCGTCTCCCTCGCGTTAAAACAATTTTAAGAGCACTGGCAAACGACGACGTCTCGATGTCTTCGTCTATCATCCTGGCATTATCAAACGACGATACAGTTCAACGCCTACGACACGAGTTCGGTGGGTACGTTCAGAATACGAACCGTTTTGAAGTCAAAATTTCCATCAAAACTTGGGAAAAAAAATTTTTTTTTCTCAATGTGTATTTATCCCATTATCCGCATCATGTAGCATGATGTTGTATATACTATAGGCACCGGTGGGCTTACTGTATACTCATAGCTCTTGGGAGTTTGATAATGGGTAATACTTACTGCTGCCGCAGATGATGCACGGTGCCATCGCCGCTAACCCTAGGAGCACTGACAACATCGTCGCAGTTGTGGCTTCGCTCGAAACCTGACAGTAAGTGGCGGGTGGCTCGCATACCGGCCTCACCAGCGATGGAAGCGGGAGCCGTTCTGCGCATGCGTCATTACATGCACACGAAACGCCAACACGGACGCGCGTGCGTCGGTTTGCTTTATCGGAAGTGTCTACCATCAATGGATATCTGATTATTGCGTCGAAGGCTAAGCTACCGTAGCGATAGAAAAAACAAACATCTCTTTGCACTTGCATAAAAAGAAACGCGTACGAAGCTACAGCGTCACGCTGATGATAGCGTCTGTCACCACGCGCTGATCGGATTAATGGCGGAGAATGCACGCTGATACTGCATTTTACGGCGATAGTCGTTTGGCAAGGTTTTAAAGCGGATCGCGTTAAGGCCACCTCGAAGGTTTGGAATTGGCACAATATTTAATTTCTTATAATAGTCATAATAAGCTTTATTTGCCATTTAAATATGGTATTAGCTGAGGGAAAAATCTGTTTAAGCAGTTTGGCGGGTCCTCAACCCCCTTACATTCGCACAGCAGTTGCAAAGACTACGTATACAAGAAGTTATATAATACTTAGATTAACGCAACATACATGCAAACTTTCAAAAGCGGTAATGCAAGTTACGTAACAATAATCAAGTAATACAGTGATACACGTACAGAGCAGAAAACAACGTTATGACTGTTTATTTCGAAACAAAATAATTCAGAAGTTCACGAGTGCTACATAAAGGCCATGCTCTGAGAGGGAAGTTTCTACTGCCCAGGAGTCTGGGTGATAGGTGGATTATGTTGAAACTTTTACTCTGATTGATGCCAATGATAACAAAGAGCTATGCGTCTAGTGTTGCTCCTGTTTACATTTTATACTGAGTCTATAACCTTAATGACAATATATTTTCATACTTCTCGTTATTCAAAAATGTTGATCAGTAGGAAAATCATAGGACTAGTTACACGCAATCCTTAGCACTCGTTTCTGTAATAAAAATATTCTTTGTAGACTAGTTTTTGTAGTTGTTCCCCAGACTGAGTAGATATAATTCAAATTAGATAAAAAGGATGAGTTATATGCGAGCAATTTGACACCAGTCGTCGAAGCGAGTTTGAAAATAACTACACTCTCAGAATAAAAGAGTGTCTTATTACACCCCTTGTCCCATATAATACACCCCAAAACTTCAATTCGACGTACAGCGCCCCATAATAGAACAGGCGGCCCCAAATTTTACGAGGGGCTTAATAGCCGTGTGGTACAACTTATTAAGATAGCTAATGTACGTTTTACTGAACATGAAAAAGATTATCGGAGTTTTCTTGGCCCTACTGAAAACGCTCCGTGTTTTCTTTCTTTGCTCTTTGATACGTACTTTAGCAATTTAATAAGGTATACCGCACCGTTATCAAGCCCCTCGTAAACTTTGGGGCCGCCTGTTCGATTTTAGGGCACTGTACGTCGAAATAAAGTTTTGGGGTGTATTATATGGGACAAAAGGGTGTATGGTGATACCCTTTTTTTTAGAGTGTAGGGTTCCGAGTTTTCGATTTAAACCGATAAAAACCGATAAAAGTACACCGAATTCATTTTCAGAAATTCAGTTTTCACCAAAATGGTCAGTTTGTAGGTTCGGCGGTTTTGGTTTAAACCGATAAGAACTGATGAAAGTGCGTCGAATCAATTTTCTAGAATTTGGCTTTAACCCAAAAAGGCCACTTTGACCTTCCAGTCGTACCGCAGAGTCGTGTCGAAAAAGTGAAACGATAGTATCTATTGAAACGTGTCCGAATGTATGGGATACACGAATGCCATCACGACGTTTTGGTTTAATGTGCACATCATCGATCGGGACGTGAAGTCCGAGATGCCCCATGACTTCGCCATGTACGGGCGTGTTTCAAACTCGTCGTAAGGGAGACTGACATGATGCAAGCTCTGCAGTCAGTTAGTGAGTACACGAAATATGTCGTGCTTCAAAAAGTCGTACCGTGTCTCTTTTCGCGGTCAGATATGGTTGATTGGTCAATTTTGGCTCAGGCAGCGCTCCACCTCCTCAGACTGCCAAAGTACAGTGTTATTCTCAAAGCTCAGGGTCATATTGACAGGAAAGAAAGAGGGCGGATCAACGAGATCCTGGGAAAGTACATGTGTGTTTGCTATAATAAGATCACGTAATCCTGGGTCCGTTTGCTCGAAGCGCTAACCGTGGCTAAAGTTAGCCGCAGTACCTACAGACCTCTTCTGTGTACTCTCGTCCCCAGCCACCTAATAGGCATATCCGGTATGGGCGACGAAAAAATACGAAAACGTTTCAACCTGCAAATAGTAAAAAATAAAGGGGAGGCAAAACGAGACAGTGTAACGGTTACGCTTATATGATATATCCTAAATGCCTTTTATTTGCGTGGCAAAGGCAAAACAATGTTTTCACCCATACTGGAAGTGACGACAATTCAAGATGGCGGCGCACTTGCAGAAAAGGTCTATAGAAGAGGGATTTTGAAATCACGTGACTGGCTCGGTAGGGATACGGGATAACGTGGCGGTGCCCCTTTGAGTGAGCGCCGCTCGCTTTGGAATTAATATGTCGTTGTAGCTGCGATATCGGGCGCGTTAGTCAGCAACGAATGGTGCAGGAAGCTTTCGCTTTGCCTTACCTCACTTAAATCGCAAAGCATGAGCAATGAGCTCGCCGCATTTTTTAGATAGTCTTTCGATTCTGGTCATTCCTAAGCCTAAATGAAAGTGATAGTTGTCGGCATGGCAACATCTTTGGAAAGTTGATTGCCTTGACTCAATCGGCCGGGTATTGAAAGCACACAAAAGCAGACAGCGTCTTAAAAGACCTTTTGCTAAATTACCCAAGCATCGAGAGGAACGCTGGAAGTATGATTCTACGATCCGCGCGCGCTGGCCTTTCTCTCATAAAAGATTCGAAGTAAATAATCATAATGAGGCTTTGACAAAGGCGCGTGCAAGGTAAAGTTTGTTTTAGACTTTTTGCTTTAGAACAGTTACTACTGACGACGCCAGCATGTGGAACGCGTATAACCACACTCGTAGCATGCACCTCGATGCTTGGGTAATTTAGAAAAAGGTCTATTGGGGCGCTCTCTGCTTTTGTGTGCTATCAATACCCAGCCGATTGAGTCAAGGCAATGTGCACTTTCTAAAGACGTTGCCATGCCGACAATTATCGCGTTCATTTAGGCTTAGGAATGACCAGACTTGAAAGACTATCTAAAAAATGCGGCGAGCTCATTGCTCATGCTTTGCGATTTAAACGAGGTAAGGCAAAGCGAAAGCCTCCTGCACCCTTCGTTGCTGACAAACGCGCCCGATATTGCAGCTATACCGACATATTAGTTCCAAAGCGAGCGGCGCTCACTCACCGGGGCGCCGCCATGTTTCCCCGCATCCCTACCGAGCCCAGTCACGTGGTTTCAAAATCCCTCTCCTAGGCACTGCGGCTAACTTTAGCCGCGGTTAGCGCTTTAAGCAAACGGGCCCTGTTGTACAGAATGTGAAGTTCCATGTTTTGGGGGCATAGGCTTCATACCAGACTTGTCTGTATTTCTGTTTTTTTTTTCTTGTTTCTTTTACAGTTGCGCACATTTGCCAAACGTGTCCATTTCTTCCTCAATGTATCTGTGCTGTTATTCTTTAAGTGATCACAAATATCAGAGCTGCAAGAATCATCTGATTCGGTGTCCATTGGTGTTTATTTCATATTCACCGAAAAACGACGGTAAACTTTTGTGGACATAAATATACACCGAAAGAAATGAAAATTCAATTTTGAAATATACACCGAAAAAATTACGCCGAATTTTGAAAAAATAAAAACCGAAAATGCGGAACCCTAGAAATAACATTGTTTAGGTGTTCATCCATGACAATTGCTTTGAAAATTCAACTCCCAAAGTTTTAAACGTGCTGACTACTTCGATAGAGCAGGTGTCTCAAATAATATTGTTTGGAAGGTCAGGATATTATAAAGAGTAGTTTTGTATGACTATTACACGTAGTACGGCACATAATACGAATAACCGTTATATGCAGGATATGAATTTCCTCGAGATTTGTGGAAGTTGTACTTCTACAGACTAATAAGCAGTAGTTATATTGTGTGTAGAAAAGATAATTTTAGATTAAAAGCGTTACCTAGGTGGGAAATATACTTCAATATATTTATGTGTCATACCAGAGGTTATTACGTATATATATGTTGAACGGAGTCGTCCCAGCTCGCGAATTGATTGAATATTATTCTCTGTACTTTTACACACTGTACCACTATACCCCCATTATTAGCACCAAGCTAGATGACAGTAGTGTGAACACTGTGTATTTCTTGACCTAAACAAAACGGCTTTTGTTTTGTTGACATTAATTTCTAAAGAATTTGATGTCGTCCAATCGTTTAGCCTAATTAAGTATTGATTTGCATTGCGCATAATTTGTTCGGCATCATTCCCTGAAAGATTACACTGGGATCATCTGCACAGAACATATTTAGCTTTATCGTCAATACTTACAACGTCATTTATATAGAAATTAAAAAGTGGGCCTTGTACACTACCTTGCGGTACACCTGCTGTTAGTGGCCTGAGACCAAGCAAACATTTATTTATTTCTACACATCGATAACGATCTTGGAGATAATTCTTTCATATTTAGTACAACACTGCGTATACTTCAAATATATAACTTTTGAAGTAGTGTATTACGGTTTAGAGAGTCAAAAGCGTTTGAGAAATTTATAAATACACCAAGTGTTAACAATTTATTTTGATATTACCTCAGATTAGCTTTTTTCGTTTTAACAATGCCAGTTCAGTCGAACGATCTTTTCTAAGCCAGTAGTCGGGATTGAAAACTTATCTAAAAAAAACATGTTGTAGCTTATTGTCACGAATGACAACTGATGAGGCGATGAAAACTGAGGCAAACTAAACGTTTAATGGGGCGAACTTGTGCCCAAAACAAAATAGACAAAGGCTAGCGCCGCGGGAGTGGATGGCGGCAAAACAGCAGGATCGAACGCCGAGGCGAGACTGGCTAAGGCCCGTCACGCGG